CATGATCAAAAAAGGCAGCTGTTCTGAGACTCCATCTTGGAATGGACAGGAAAGAGTTCTTGTAGGAAGTGGTCATACAGGGATCTCGGCTACAGGAGCTGGGGTGAGCTGGGCACTCCACTGAAAACGACCTGTCCCAACAAGTCCAGGCTGCCATGTCCTTTTTGAGGGGTGTCTGTCTTGTTACATTTGTTGAAACATTTCCTGTTCTTGTTCTCAGTTTGGTAAAAGCTATGCCACCTCCCAGGATGGAGCTAGCGACTCTGCCCTCATTGATCCACCTCCGCAGGTAATGAATATAGCAAGCACTGGGTGTGACCCACTATAGTTAAGCTGCATAGTAGTTTGCATTAAAACCTTGTTTTCAGAACTGGTATCCTATGGGATCCTGCCAGTCAGCTCTGAGGTGTGCTGGTGGGGCCATATTGGGCAGATGGCCTAGTGTCTCTATAACTAGTGCTGTAGAATCAGTCTCTCATTCTCACAAGCCCTAGGTTAAGAAACAAACTAAGGAAGTTATTGTGAATGTTAATTTCAGCCGGACTATCGCAGGGTGCAGTCCACAGGAGCTGCGGAGAAAGACAAGACCCCCGTTCCTTCTCCAGCAGTGCGCAGACAAGACGGGAAATATCCACGCAAAGAGGAAGAGTCTGTTTTCCACGCTAAGCCTGTCCGTGCAGGGCAAAACAGGACGAATAGCAGGAACATGCAACACTGGCCTGACCAAGGTAAAGAACATCACTATGGATGTTTAAGAATGACAGGGAATGGCCTTAATTTGATGCTAAGGGAGCAGTCTGTCTAACTCCGAGGTGCTAAAGGGGAACAGTCGCTAGTGTATCTCCTAACTGCTGTTGTAATTCCATTCCTTCCCCTCCTCAACAAATACGCCATGAATGAAACTTTCTTGATACCTGAGTTGTCATGAAGCTGAGATACTGAACTCTGTCTGGAGTTGCCTTGAGCTGCACCCCGCTATATTTGTTGGGGCAATAATTAAAGAGCATAAAAGGTGAAAAGCAAATAGGCGTCTGAACGCCTAGCAGCAACTCAGGGAAGGAACTGTGGTGGATGTGGAGCTGCTCGGCAATAACTTACGAATCCTTTATGTTGACCTGATTATTTGGATGTTTACTGTGTGACTATATTGGTTTAGTTTACTAGGGGGCTGCAAGGAAAACAAGCAGGAAGGAAACACAGTGGTTCAAGATAAGACACCAGCCCCCCTTAGTAAACACCTGAGGTTTGTTAAGAGACAATGCCAGGATGGGAAAAGCCTGGGAATTAGAGATCAAAAGCACTATAGGAGTTTAAAAAGGAACTCTCTCTCTCAGGAGGGGAAGGAGTTGTTGGGGAGCTGTTTGGGGAAACCAGACTGACCTAGGCTCCTCTGGGGTGTCAGGAGTAGTTAGGCCTGCCTTGGTTACTGTCTGGGGATGGTAAGCGTGTAGGGAAGATAGACTGATGTCTTAAAATCATTTTTCTCTAAGTGCTTTATTCCTACTGTTAAACAATACTTTGGTTTAAGAAGGCTGTATGATGACTCTATTCACCATTGGTCACAGATTCCCGAAAGAAAGAACCGCAGTTGGACCTGCTGGGTCAGCATGGTCCCTGCCCAGGCCTGGTCTAAGAGTGGGAGAAATGTATGATTCCACCCCAGGAGAGATGAAGGCATGAGGTCTAACAGGGCAGGAGGGGTAGTCCGGGAGACATAGAAAGGGGACAGAGGTGCAGCTCACCCTGTAACTGTGTCAGGAACGTTTTTTAAATGAAAATTTTTTTTTTTTTTTTTTAACGTGCCAGCATCTCCTTAATGAACCAACCCAATGTTCTAAATTGGATCTGCTGTATCAAATCAAACTCTAAACATGGTTAACAGCTTAGTAATGCTATTTCTTTGATGCCAGCAACACGGCAGGCGGTGATGAAAGGCCCTCAGAAACACTAGACTGGACCTAGCCATTCCTATAGCTTAAGCTGCACTAAGTCACATCTAGTGTCTGTGATACCCTCTTAAGATCTTTCTTCTCCTCACAGAAGAGGGAAGTGTCTATAAAGTAAAAGACCCGAGAAAGGAGATGCGAGGTGCCCGGGAAGTAATGGAGGATGAATACACAAAGATGGAGCTACCTGTTGATCAGGTATGAGGTTTAACTCTTTCTGGTAAATTACTAAAAGGCTTTTTTCTCTCCTGTGTTACTAACTGTCCGGGAGCTCAGGCTGCTGCTGTGAGAGACAAGTAGTTTCCCACTGGGGTCCATGGGAGTTACTCGTATCTTGCAGCAGGAGAACCGGGCCCCAGGAGACGAGCCTTCCAGGGAAACTGTCTCATCAAAACTTTTCTTAAATGTTGAGAAACAAAACCATATAGAGCTATTGGAGACTCCTCTCTGCAATACAAGCTATGTAATGGTAAATATTCCAGATTCCCTGGAATCTGAGAACCCGTTTGATGAATCATTAGTCTAGCAATGGCCTAAGTAGCTTCTTCCGTTTTATAACTTCTTTTAAGTCCCATTCTCTGCTTCGCTATTTTATTGGTGCCACCACAATTTCCCTCTTCTGAATGTGTGAAAGTGGAAATAACTGCAGGGGGGGACTGGATGTATTTATTTCAGCTGTTTAACATCTATAGAAGTTCTCCTGGAGGTGTTTGTGTGGCTAGAGCCCTGCAAATCTGTTGTTGTGGATCAGATGCGGATACAAATTTTGTATCGGCGCAGGGTTCTAAATGTAGGATCTCAAAGCCAGGGAATCCGCTGTCTGCAGCTCATAGCCTATGAGGCTGCTTCCCCACCTTCCAGATCCTATATCCCCCCTCCTCCCCATTCAGAGAGTTGATTCTAGAGATGGCCTTTCTACAGGGCTGTAAGAGTCATAAGTTCTCCAACAGAGCGGAGACCTGGAGATAAGATTTTTGTCCTTATTTTCTCCCTTCTCCAGAGAGCTGCAGAGACGGTGGAAGAAGTTATACCAAAACACAAAATGACTCCTCACAGCAAGGTACTGCTAAACAGTCCAGTATACTTGTAAAGTGTGTGTGTTAGACAGAGTGTGTGAAAGTAAACCAGTTAAGATTAGATATCTAAGACACAACTGGCTTTAATTTAACAGGAAGGTACTCAGTACAAATTTGCTATCCCCTAATTGTGATTTATAAAGCAACTGATACAATAAACTCTTCAAACCAAAATAACTGCACACAATATCAGGGGAATGCTATGCCACTTACTGTGTGATAGTGTCTCACCTTGTGTAACTGTAGTTGTGGTTACAACTCTTCACTGTAAAAACCTGTTTATCAGAGGCTTAGATTTCGAATGTTTAAAAGATTGACAGCTGAAGCTTGGCATCCTCCAAGGGTGGATGTTTGGCCTCTGCACCTGAATGTCACCACCTGCAGCAGCCCTAATTTTTAATACTATAATGCAGCCTGTTAAGCTACTGGGATCCTGATGGTGCAGTGCATGCTGGGACCAGGTTTCTGCAGGTTGCACCTCTATTAAATATGGAAGCAGAAGTATTTTATTTCATATACATTAGGCATTGCCAGGGGTGCTTTTAGACATGCGAAGTATGGATGCTGATGACACACACAGAATCAGCTGCTCAACACATTTGTAACAAATCTCTTCAATCACTTACCAGCATTGATCTGAAAATTTTCTTTTGCAATGAAAAATCCCAGGTTTTTTTTTGGGGGGGGGGGGGGAGTTAAAGGTGCCTGCTCTTGGGGGGCAGTAACTTTTCTTATTCCAGTTTTCATAAGAATTTCTAGAGTTAATGCATTTTGTCCCATTGCATATTTTGGGACTGTTCCTGTTCCCTTTTAAGATCAAAGGTAAAATTCAGACTTAAATCGGAGCAGTTCCTAGCTAAAGTCAGAATTACCTAATGGAGCACTCTGCCCTCTGGGATGAATTTGGATCCTTTGCATTCTGTATTTACTTCAGAGGCTGGGGCAGCATTTCTTTGTCTGCAAAGAGTACCCTGCTGCCTCCTGCAAATGCTGATGTTGGTCTAATTGGCCTTTCATCCACAGACCTCAAATTGCTAGACAAACACTTATTATTTGAGCCACATAGCCTTCCTGTGCAGTAGGCAAGAATCACTAGGCCTATTTTAAAGGTGTTTAGACGGAGGCACGCAGAAGTCCGCGGTCATATAGCAAGGCCATGGCATAGCTGGGAACAGTATCCAGAAATTCTTAATGCCAAACCCTGGCTGTAACCACTATACAACACCACGTTGGTTACATTAAAAGTTATTTGTATTGTTTTGTCTTTAAATGGGAAAAGGTTGGGAGCACTGACAGATCGCGGAAGGCCTTGACAATGCGAAATTACGCCAATGACTCAGAGGAGGAAGAGAACTGAAAGAGCCATTTCTCTGACAGTGTGAAGTTCTGAAGAGTTTATGAAGTGACTGTGATGAAATGGAGACCAAGTTAGCTTTACTCTCTGTGCAGTGGTCGATAACATAAGCACCTTGATCAAATCCCAGGACTTTTAAAAATGCTTGTTTTAAACAATAAGAATGCCTTCATTATCTGGGCTTTGTAAAGCAGGCTTCAGGTGAACAATGAGTCCGATACATTCATAATATATTTAAAAAAAAATAAATTTAATATAAACCCTTTTTTTCTTCTTTGCTTGGGGAAGAAGATGGGAAATGCCTGGGCCTACATTTTTTTAATTTCAACAGTCAAGGAGCTGGTTTGTATCTGAAATGGGGGGAAGCAAATAATTTTTACTGTATAGAATAAGTTTTACTCTACCATGAAAGGGGAGTCCTTCCAAACACCTTTGCAGCTGAGAGACTAGCTGGGTTCTCAGTTAAGTAGTAAGTCTCAATCCGGGAGGGACGTTGGCTCAGAGCATTTGGTAGTAATTTATTATCCAGTAAGTGCTGAACAAGACAAGTTAAGGATAGTCCCTGCTCTGAAGAGCTTACAGTAAGAGGCAACACAGAAGAAAAGACATTCTGGAAAGACATTGGGAGACCTAGAAGGGAGGTCAGAGGAAGATCAGGACACTAATTTTTTGCATAGGGTTCTGTACCTAAATTAAGTATTGGGGGCTCAAACCCCAAATATTTGAGGTTTAGTGCCCCAAAAGAACAAGACCTCAACCTTGAAAAGGTAAAGAGACTCCAACAACTGTTTTCAGAAATCTTCTTCTTTAGGTATCAAAATTCACCTTCCACGTTGCCTTGGTTCTAGACCACACCTCTGGTGGCTGATCTGGGTCCAGAGAGGCAGGGGTACCCATCCCCAAACAATGGCATTACCTTCTGCACATTCTTTCTTCTTCCACTCTGTTTCTCACTCGTTCACAGAACCAGCTATACATAGAGCAACTCCCAAGATAGTAAGCAGCATTCCTACCACGGCTCCTAAGGAGACAGGACATACAAAAATGGGAGGAATCATGAGCACTCACCATTAATCAGTTAGGCCTTGTCCTCTATTCAAATGCTAGTGATGATGTGGTCTGACTAGCTAGATAGAGAGGATCAGCAACATGCTAGTTCCAGATGAATTTCAGCAACGTTGTTAATAGCAGGTTCTAAGACACTTTTCCTCATATCTGCAGAGATTTATTTTTTTAAACTATTAACTATATTATAAAATTACTACGGACAGCATAGCTCTAGAGCATAGTTCTTAGGAAAATAGTCCTTGTTTGCTCGAGTCAGGGAAACCTTGTTAACACTGTGCTAACAATAGCTATGTTTAAAGACAAATGTTGGTTTCTTCCCTCCCCTAAAGCCCTCACAGGACAACATTCTTACCTTCTGCAGCTTACCCACAGTGTAGCTCCTTAATGTAAAAATATTAAGTTACTACTAGCAGAGTAGAGTTGTCCAAAACCTAGTTTCAGATCCCTCAGTGAGACAACAGCAACTGATGATCACGCACAGACTAGTGCTATCTTATATCCATCCATGAGAAGTAGGATTAACCAGATCATCACTCTGTACACATCTAGGGGAGGGGTCCTCAATAAATCCATCCCCAACTATGATAAGATGAACTATTTAACTACCACACATCTTGCCCCTAGAATTACATGATCTAGCTAGACCTCACACCAAACAATGGTAATCTAGATGTTCAAGGTATGGTGCTGAATGCCAAGTTGTGTGCAGAGCACATATATAAAAGCATTGCACTGAAGTATGACTTACTTTTACCACCAATGTCTTCCCCAAGAATCTTCCCAGTTACGACTGTGACTATCAAAGCCAGAGAGTTACAGAGAGGCACCGCCAGGGATAGGTCTGAAATTGAACAGGGAATGTTGACATGGTCAAACACAGTTTAAAAACTAAATGTTGTAAAAATCACTTTCTCATCACCAATGCAAAACTGCTCTATCCTGTTATGTAGGCTTGGAAGGCTTAGATTTTTGTTGGTAAACATTGATTTCACCGTACACACAAACCAACAAAAAATATTTACAGATAGGCAAAGTGAGAAAAACATTACATAGTAAAATTTATTACAAAATGCTGCTTGAGAACTTATATTTTAAGGAAATTTACTTTGTATATTTTAACGTGATGTGACAATTTGTGTTTTAATGATTATAAATATTTACTTTTTTGCATCTCAATAGCTGTCATTAAATAATGGCCGCACCCCCCCCCATAATTTCTTGCAACTGTGAAAATGTAAATTGATAAAAATACAAAAAATGTTTAATAATAAACGTTGATGTTATGTCAAAATTAAAAAAAAAATACATTTTGCCAAGGTTCAGCTATGTGTAATTGATTTCTTGGCTGGGCCACAGAACTTCTCAAGGATGAAATTGTCTATCTAGCCCCAGCTATCCCACTACACTGAAACATAATAGCAAGGACTAACCTGTGGATGCCAATGTGAGATAGTAGATTATTGATCCACACTGGTTAAACAGAAATGGCACCATGTACTACAAGGAAAACACAACATATTCAGTCACTGCACATGAAATGACCATATACACAGCATGAATGTTATGTGAGGACATGAAGCTAGTTGTTAGAGTGGGGGATTAGGAGCCAGGACTCATTTGTTCTGTTCCTCACTCTAGAAGGCAGTGTGGTCCAGCAGTTAAATCACAGGGCTCTGTTTATGGTTGTGCCATTGACTCCTTGTGTAAAGTGCTTTGAAATCCTCATGGGAAAAGTGGTACCATATGCAAGCTAAATGGAATATCACAAAGGATAAAAATCAAATTTCCAATAAAAACCATCAAGCCCAGAGCAGATATAATTAAATGGTCAAGAAAATTAATGTTAAAGCCAGATTAAGCCACAGACATTCAACACAATCTCCATCCAGGAGGCCCCCTTGGCACTACCTGAAATGGTTTGGAGGGGGTTCTAATACCTTATAATTGAGGCACAGGAATTTCATCTCTGCAAGGAGCTGCAGCACCCGGTTCCTTTGCTTCACCTTCTCCATTCCCTCTGTCCCTGTCTTCAAAAATGGGTTTGTCCCTCCCCACAGAATAGCCACTAGGACCAGTGCAGACACTTCCCCTGCAACACAATCACAAATCACCACAGTTCAGGGATTATTTGTGTCCTGTAATATGAGTTTCTCACTTTAGTTCTTACATTATCCTAACTCCATGGCTGTATGTAGTGCAGGGTGGAACTTGCCATTTGCTCTGCGACTAATCTTGTGTTCTGAACATCAATCCTACGTCTGCCACTGTGACCATCACAAATTCCTTCACTTTTCCCCTCTCTCCTCCTGTGTTAAAAGTCCAATTGTGGAAAGGGCCCAGCACCCAGAACTCCTGTTCTACCCTCTCTCACCTTTACTGCTCTCTCTAACTCAATGCACTCCCACCTGTTTGGAACAGTCTCTCACTCCATGTGTGTCAAACTATCAAATCCTCCTTTAAATCTCACTTCTTCCACAAAGCCTCCTATGCAATGATCTTACTAATCAACTCTCACAAAAGAACTATTGTTCCCAGCATAGTATTTGTCTGAGGTTAGGGTGACCAGAGAGCAAGTGCGAAAAATCGGGAGGGGGGTGGGGGGTAACAGGAGCCTATATAAGAAAAAGACCCCAAAATCGGGACTGTCCCTATTAAATCGGGACATCTGGTCACCCTATCTGAGGTCGACTATAAGCCCCTACGCGTAGGGGCCTTTTCTTACGATGTCTTCTGTAATGTAGCAAGTACATTTAGTGCATAACAGTATTATTAACATAGTGTTATTTAGTAAATAACAATCAACCTTAATGATGTTGTGACCAGCTCCAGTACAATAAATGCAACCCAATCATCATATTTGCAAAGCACTAAAAAAAGAGATGTTAAACAGTTCTGAGCTTTTATGATGCATTATGTATTTTAGAATAGTGCAAAACACTGAACAGTCCTGTTTGAATGCTGCTGACAGTGCAGTATTTTGCAATAAATGTTACTATGTAATGTTCACACAGGTTTATTATACACATTTAGTTGTGCTGCAGTTCTTTTTCTGTCCATTTACTATTGCAGATTATTCCAGTCCATGAAAGCAGGTTAAATAAATTATCAGTGAGAAAGTTGGGCTCTACATTACTTTATGGGTCTTGTTAGCAGTGTGCTGTGGCCCAGTCAGTGCTGGCTTGAAATGTACTGGCATCAAACACAAATCAGTTTACATTTTTGGCACTCCCCCCATGCCACCAGCCTGGAACCATGCGGCATTTGTGCTTTGGACCTAGGGTGACCAGACAGAAAGTGTAAAAAATCGGGACAGGCAGTCGGGGGGGGGGGGGGGGGGGGGGGAGGTAATAGGTGCCTATATATGGGGGAAAAAAAACAAAATTGGGACTGTCCCTATAAAATCAGGACATCTGGTCATCCTATTTGGACCACAACCTGCAGGGTGTGGGGAGCAAAGGGGAGTTGAGCAGTTTAAAAAACCTGGCTACATCATGTCCTGGGAGGCAGCTGCCACCCACTCGATGCACAACTGGGCGTGTTTGTGTATACAAGGCCAGTGAAGCGACTGTCTTAGGCCCTTCTGTGGTCCCATTACAGATGGGAAACCTTGTCAGCCCCATGGTGGAGGAGGAACTGCCTGCTTTCCCCTTCCTACGTGGAGCCCCCCCCAGCACCTGGGAACCCCCTGACTATCCTCTTCCCCTGCACCCCTAACACTGAGGACACCCTGAACCTCACCTGCCCCAGTGGGGAGCCCCCAACAATGGAAATCCCCTTCCCCTGGGCCCACACCACGGGGACCGTCTAGCACAGAGAGCCCCCCTGCGGGACCCTCTCCCTTCTCCCAGCAAAGAATCCCCTGGGCCCCCCCTCGCCCGTGCCCCACCCTGGGGGGCCCTTCCCCTGTACCACCCGGGGGGGACCCTCTCCCCGGGCAGGGCGAACCCAGCACTGTCCTGGGGGGTGACCCCGGAAGCGGGCAACTCACCCCCAGAGGCCATGGCGGCGGCTGTTCACTTCCGGCCAGGCCGCGCCCCCTGACCCGGATGTGGTTCCTCCCCCTTCCCTTCACGCGGAGCGCTGCGCAGGCTGTTGCCGGGGCTGAACAGTCGCCATGGTGAGTGCGGGGCTGGGAGGCCTCCTGTCCTGGGCTGGGCTGGGCTGGGCTGGGCTGGGCGGGAATGGGGGGCCCTTGGGCGGGGAGACCGGGCGGCGGCGGCTCTGTGGGGAGTGAGGATTTCACCCTTTTTCCCTCCCCGCGGTGTCCTCCCCCCGCCGGGCCCGGAGCCCCTCCCCGCGGTGTTATGTCCTCTTTCCCCGCCGGGCCCGGAGCCCTTCCCCGCAGTGTCCTGCCCTCCCTCCCCCAGCCGGGCCCGGAGCCCC